TTATTATTTTGTCATATCTTGCCCTGTCCGACGTCTCCCTTTACCCACTTGTCTGTTGTTCCAGGGAGGAGGTCACATACAGTTCCTTTAAATTCTCCCAAATGAATATCTGAACCCAGATGTCTGGAAAGAGTATTAATTGTACACTTTGACTCCTGGAATGAAAGAAACTAATAGAATTAATTAGGCATCGCATTAGCCTTCTAAGCCTGACACATACAGAACAAATTAAAGTGTAAGTTCTTCCCCTACATAGGCCCACTAACCAAGTCACTGCTGCCGAGCTGATTCTGACTCACAGCGAGCCTACTGGGCAGCAGAACTCCCCCCGCAGGGTTGTTGATCAGAGCAGCAGCCTCATCTTTCTTGGGCGATTGCCTCCTTCTTACGGCCTCACCTTTCCCAAAGCGTTTGAGACGTACTCTCTGAAAGTGGGCCTCCTCGTAGCCCCTGACTGCACACTGTCTTCAGGAAGCCACCGCCAAGTACTTCTGTGAACCCTTACACAGCTGGACAATCAGCCCTCTGTCTGCCCGAGCTGCAGGCTCTCGAGAGCCTGGAAGAGCAGCCACAGGGCAGCGGTTGTGAGACGCAGGAGAGATGGAGCTAGGGAGCTCTGCCAGGGCTTAGCTCCAGCCAAGCTCCCGAGATGCCCTTTCCGCTGAGGACGCCACGGACCTTTCTCAGAACCAGTCTCTCTGTTCTTTAACAGTCTTTTCATTTCGGGAAGAGTGGCCTCGGGGAATCCGAAACATGGGAGAATAATAAAGTAATGAAGATGGAAATGAAGTAAATTCTCAATAACTGGGAGGGGGGAAAGTCATATAAGGCCCACAGATTCTTCTCTCAATGGGGCTCATTCTATTCACCTAGAGCAGTGGTTCTCAACCTTCCTAATGCCTCGACCCTTTAATAGTTCCTCATGTTGTGGTGATCCCCCCAACCATAAGATTATTTTCGTTGCTACTTCATCACTGTCATTTTGCTACTGTTATGAATCAGGCGACCCCTGTGAAAGGGTTGTTTGACCCCAAAGAGGTTGAGACCCACAGGTTGAGAACCGCTGACTTAGGAGTGTGTAGGGGTATACCTACTTAGGCTAGTGTCCAGGAGACGCTGGTGGCGGCCAGGGGAGGGGCGGGGAGGCAGTGGAAACGAGTACAGAGGTGGCTGACAGGCCTGCTCATAGGAATATGAGAAGCCACATGGAGAAATAAACGGCACAAAGGTTCTGAAGTGTGTGATGATGGTGGACTGGGGTGGGGTGGAGATAATCAGGAAATGGTGTGTTTGTGTGGATAGTGTGCACACTCAAACCGTACCTTGAATCTGGCATTTAGCTTCAATTAGATGGAGCTAATGGAGCGAAAGGTTCAAGAGGCAACTGCATAATGGCAGTCTGTGAATGCCAGGCTAAGAGGCCTTTAACCCTCAGGTAGCCAGGCCATTTATGAGCTGCACCTGCTTTACATCTGCCACCTCATTTTACCAGGAGCACGGGAAGAGCTGTCTATGAGATCAGAGGTATTTGGAGAGGCTGTGTCTGCAGCTCAGAGAAAACACTAGGAAGGTCTGACTCGAGCTGAAGGATCAAGAAGTCCCATCATCTTCTGAGGATGGTCAGAACGGTCAGGCTTCCACACAACCCTCGACAGGTTGACCCAAGGCTGAGCGTACCAACGGAGTCCTACTAAGCTCACTTTCAGTACCTGCCTCCCAGGTACAAGGATCTACAGACGCCCATTACCTACGCTACAACCCAACCCAACCGAAACCCGCCTGCCAGGAGTTGATCCTGATTCAGACACCCTCAAAGACAGAGTAGAACTGCCCCTGAGAATTTCCAGGGCTTTAAATCTTTAGAAGAACAACAGCCAGCCTCCTTTCTCCCTCAGAATGACTGTGGGCCTGAACTGACTCATGCCCACTCGTGTCCAGGGCTCCTTCACTAGGTCATTAAAATTCCTCTGCCTGGAATTGAAGGTCATGCATAATCAAGCCTCACCAAAACGTTTCAGCATTTATGTTGATTGCCCTCGCACCAACATTCTTCTATTCCTCAGACCCATCATTCAACAGGGCTAGTAGTTACCGAACCTCAGCAGAGTTAAATTTAAGCTAGACAATAATTCTGGCCATTTCTTCCAGGCGTAAACAAAAAGATGTATCTATAAACAAATACTGTACTCTAGCAAATGATATGCCTGCTGATGAACCTGGAGGAAGTGCACAGATCTCGAAGGAGCATGACGATGAAGTGGGCTGCCATCTGCCAAGGCCAGCAGTTCAAACCCACCTGCTGCTCTGTGGGGGAATGATCAGACAGAGACGGTAAAGATGTAAAGCCTCAGAAACCCAAGTGGCTCTACTGCCCACGGGGTCACTGTAAGTTAGAGTCCACTCAAGGACACTGAGTGTGGTTTTTGATTTGGTAGTGCTGTGGGCTAAGCTAACTAACAGGCCAGCAGTTCAAACCCCCCAGTTGCTCTCAGGTAGAAAGATGAGGTATTCGACTTCCTTAAACATTGACAGTTTTAGCACCTCCAGGGAGCAGGTCCACTAAGTCCTACAACTCACTGAGTGCCATCGAGTCAAAGCTGACTCATAGTGACCCCCTGTGGGTTCCCAACACTGTAACTGTTTACAGCAGTAGAGGAGTTGCTAGTGGTTTGGCACTGCCAACCATGAGGATCGCAGCCCAAGTTCTATAGGATTGCTAATGGCCAAAACGGACTAGATGGCAGTGGGTTCAGTTAGGTACAGACACCTGCAATTTAAAGGGCTGACAGCTATGTGATAAAGCAAGGACAGTAAAATGTTAATGGGAGATTTCTAGGTTGTGATAAAAATCTTTGACAAAACTCGATAAAACACTGGGTTGATGCACTGTTCTGCCTCAGCCTGTCTACACCCAGGCAAGAAATAAACTTTGCTATTTGCAACCCCCGCCAAAAACAAACAAACAAAAAACCCCACCTCAATAAAACACAGGAGGAAATGCCATTGAAGATACATGGTACATGTTACCATTGTAAGCACTGATAACACACTACACTTTTAAGAAGTCAAGCTTAACAAGTGGCCGGCAGTACCACGGGTATTTATTTGTTCCTGTCCCTTCCATGGCATCTGAACAGAAGAGGGGACTTAAAAAGTTCTAGGAAAATGAAATAGAAAGATCATGGAATTTCCCCGACAAACGTTTCCAAGTTCACTTGTACTTTGTATGGCTCTTTCTATGTCTAATGCATATAGTCGGGGAACCCTGGTGGTGAAGTGGTTAGACAGTGGGCTGCTAGCCACAAGGTCAGCAGTTCGAAACCACCAGATGCTCCTCGGGAAAAAGGTGAGACTTTCTCCTCCCGTATAGTTATAGTCTCAGAAACTCAGTTCCACCCTGTCCCTCAGGGTCACTAAGAGTTGGCATCCACTCGATGGCAGTGAGTATTTAGTTCAGGAGCTCTGACAGTGCAGTGGGTCCTGCATTTAAATCACAAGGTCAGTGGTTGGAACCCAGTAGCTGCTCTATGGCAGAAAGATGAGGCTGTCTACTCCTGTAAGGATTTAAAGTCTCAGAAACCCCAAGGGGCAGTTCTACTCAGTCCCAGCGGGTCCCTTTGGGTTGAGCTGACAGGAAGGAGTCAGTGTTGAGTTTGAGTACTTTATTATCTACTTTCACGGTGTCTCTGCTCCTGGAAGAAACAAACGGAATCTACTTTATATTTATAGTGCATTGCTCCACATCATGTCTGGTTAACAAAAATGTGTTCAGAAATGGTGGAATGTTTGAATGACAGTGGAGTGTTGATAAGGTCCAAACCAAATATTACAGTTCTAGCAGCTGCACTTTATTCACTACTCACATATTTCACAAAGTTAATGTGTTTAGTTTGCCAAGTGGAAGCCAATGCCCTTTACTCCTGGCCAAGCCCACAAGCTATCCAAAACTAAAGGCTTATTAAAAAAAAAAAACTACCTCGTGTAAGATATGACAAAATAATAATTTATGAATTATCAAGGGCTCCATGAGGGAAGGGGGAGTGGCGAGGGAGGGGGAAAAATGAGCTGATGCCAGGGGCTTAAATGGAGAGCAAATGTTTTGAGAATGATGAGGGTAACGAATGTATAAATGTGCTTTATACAATTGATGTATGTATGGATCGTGATACAAATTGTATGAGCCCCCAATAAAATGATTTTAAAAATATATTGTTTCATCTGCACGGAAGCAACTTTGCATTCGATTACTTAAACCAAAGATCGGCAGGCCTCCTAGCATGCTCAAGTTTTTAGTGGATACATTTTCTTAAAAGAGCTGAGTCTGAGAATTCCAAGGAAGCCCATCATTTGTTTTATTCAAATCTTAAATGAGTTGTCAGATCTACCAGATCCCTGAATTGGTCACAAGCAGGAAACTGGGCAGCCAGAGGAAAAAGCAAAAACCACGTAAAAAAGGCGTGTACCTGACTAACCTAGAACTTTACCAAGAAACGGAGGTAACATCTCAACCCACCCGCTAACTCCAGCTACCCATCTCCTCTCCAATTACAGCCAGTCGGACCAGAGCAGCGCCGGCCGCTCCCAGGGGCCCAGGCGACTGGCCCGAGGCCACTGTGGATGCAGTCTCACGTCCATCTCCCTGAGACAACGTGGTTCCGCGAAATGAGCTGGTTCTTAGCACGGCAAGACCCAGGTTCGAGTCCCACCTCCCCCGCCTGCCTACCCTGTGGCCTTGCACTAGTCTTTTCCGCTGGCAGGGTCTCAGTTTCTTCATCTGTGAAGTGGTCAGGCTAACTAATGCCGCCCACTCGGAAGGCAAAGAGCGTAAAGATGCAACAGCCTGTCAATTCTGCTACGGCTCTTGAGCACGCGGTGCTCCTCGACCAGCCTGCAGACCAGTTTGTCTCTGTTCCTTACTCCCTTCCCGCCCGGCTCCGGGTTGAGGCCGCTTCCTCCCGTTGGTTCCCCAGACGGAAGCCGCGCGGCGCCCTGTGCCGTACCTGCTGCGACCTGGTCAGCGGGACCCTCCTGCTGACCCGTGACGAAGTCTTGCACGAGGCCCCACAGCGCGCCCGTTGACGCCGCTGCCCCCAGAGCGGCGGCGGCCGCCATGACGCGAACTGGAGACCGTGGGAGGGGAAGTAGGCGGTGGCACGCAACGAGTCTCTGTGCGCATGCGCCTCGCGAGCCAATCACCGGGCGAAAACGAAGGAGGCGGGGCGCTCCCTTGATCACGTGCCTGCCGGCTTCTCGCCAGGCAGTTCCGAGGAGGGATGGAGCGGCCCCTCCCCCTAGGGGCGGGGCCTAGGATGGGGCGGTGGCGCGGCGAGGGCCGGCGGCTGCTGGGCACCCAAGCGGGGGGCCATTGAGGGCGAATAATTCCCGGTTCCGCTCCCCGGGAGACGGGAGACGGGGCGGGCACCTGGCTGGGTGGGGCCGAGGGGCGGCACGCATCCTGAGGGAAGCCAATGAGAAAACCAGACCCGGCCCGAGGGGGCGGTGCCGTCGGTCACATGCGCACCTGGGGCGGGCGGAGGCAGCGCCAGCACCGCGAGCTGGAGGAAGGCAGCGGGGCCGGGCTGGGGCGGGGTTAGGCAGGTGAGTGACAGGCTCTGGGGGGACGGCCCCAGCTGGGAGCCCCGAGCGAGCTCGGAGTAGCTGCGGCGGTGCCCGCCCCCTCCCTCCGCCCCTCCAGGGGAGCTGGTCTCCGGCCGGGCACCGTCGCGGGCCCCCCTGGCCCGGCCACCTGGGACTGTGCTGGGGAGTCGGCCACTTCGCTCTCTTCCCCTCGCCCCAAACTTTGTGGCGAAGCCGGCGCCGTGGCAGAGTGCGCCCCTGCGGGGAAGACCGAGGAGTGCCCGATGCCGAGCGGCAGGAGCCGTTGACCCCCGGACACCACCGTCCGGGACCGGAGCGCCGAGCAGCCGCCCACCCCGCCGCCTCCGGTGCATGGGGCCTGGCTGAGGAGCCAGCATGGGCAACTGCGTGGGGAGACAGCGCCGGGAGAGGCCGACCGCCCCGGGACACCCCCGCAAGCGAGCAGGTAACGACGGGATGGGCGCAGGGCCACGGGCACCCTGCCAGTTGCCCCCCCTCCCCTCCTTGCCAGAGCCCCGGGCGTCGCGAACGACCACCCACGGCTCCTGGCGCCCAAGGCTTGGCCCGTGGCCGCCTGGGAGTCCTCCCCAGCCTTGGGTGGCCCGAGGAGCTGAGTTGGGGCAACTGCGAGCGCAGACGCGGCTGCGAGACCCAGACGCTCCAACTGGGAAGCTCTGGGCGCGGGTGGGGGCGGGGGCAGGAAACGTTTGCAGACCGCCCGGGCCGCCGGAGGGGAGGGGGGCCCGGGGCGAGGGCGCCGCTGGCCTGGCACCGGGGCCGGGGTCCGACGCCAGCCCGTCGGGCGTCCCCAGAACTCGGGGCGAGCTAGGCGAGGGCAGTCCGTCACTCGGTCCCCAGACTGACTGTGTCATGATCGGGCTGCAGATCGTTGTCTGCCGGAATCCGACTTGCAAAAGCAGCGCAGGACTCTGGGAAAGAAATCTTTATTTTTCCCCGCAGGGCTTTTTAAAGCCTGGGTCAGCTGGGAGTCTAGGAAAGGTGGATTAGGGGGGTGAGACTCTCCCTAGAGTGTGTTGGGATCCCTCCCAGCTTTGGGAATGGGATCTGCTCGCTGGTGATCCGCGAGAGCCAGACTGCGCCTTCTCACTTTCTTAAAGACACCCCTCCTATCCTGGAGCTTCGCCTCGGGAAGAAGTCTGGCACGGGTTCCCCACCCCCCACCCCCACCCCCTCTCCTCCAGGGCTTGTACTCACTTCCTTCTCTGAGGGTGTTGCAAGGACCTTCCGAGAATGATAAAAATCACACGCTTTTAGGACTGAGGAGGACCTTAGAAACGAGTCTAGCTTCCAGATCGACTTCCCCTCTCCTCTCCGAATCCAGAAGCCCAGACCCGGAGAAGTTGAGCAACTTACCCAAAGCCACACAGCGCCCAGGTAGCACAACAGGGCCTAGAACACAGTTTCCTCTTCACCCAGTTGCCACATAAAATTTATGTAAGAGGAGCCCCAGGAGGAGTTGCTAATGAAGTGGAAACTCTAGTTGGAGTGCCCTGTCTCCTTTGACACCAAAGGTGTGTTGCTCGGACTGGGGAAACTGGGAAGGAGGACTGTGGGGAACCGTGGGGAAGCAGGGAAGGATGCCTGCCTGGTGGACAGGATGACTCGGGGAGGAAGGAGCATGTTTTTAAAGGAAGAAATGGGGCACACCTTTCAAACCATTTTATTGGAAGGCAGCCCCAGCCGTCTTCTGACTGGGAGAAGTTGATTATAAAGCCCTAAGGCCTCCGTTCCTGCTTCATTCATTCGACAATTACTTATTGTTTATGTGCTTTCACTATTAATGGGTTCTATAGCATTTCCCATTGTTGACAACCCACTCCTACTTGAAACTCCCTCCCCCCCTTTTAGTATTAGACTATCTTGGTTTTCTTCTCTGGTCACCTTGCCCTCAAGTATTTGTGGGGTGTGGGCACACTTGTACTGTCTTTCTGTTTTTCTCTCTCATTGCACTCCTTGACAGAAATCCTGCTCAGTCCCTTAATTGTTGAATCATTGGGAAGCGCACACACACACATACACACACACACCACCACCACCACCCCCGTTTGCCTCCTGAATCCCCAGTTCCACCTCTCCAAAAGCCACTCCGATCAATACGTCCTAAGATCCACCAGCTCAAACCAAGCGCCGTAGCTTTTCCCCTGAACAACTTCCCTTCCTTATGCTTACATTCTCCCACCTGCCTAATGTTACACCTCATGGAAGCCTCCTGGTCAACTTTCGCTGAACTCATGTTGTCTCCCAGCCAGTCAGTCACTGGGACCTGGTTATTCTTGCAGCAGGACTTACACACCTATCCCTGCCCCCTCTACTTCAGATCCTTGGTCCCTCAAGTTAAACTCCAGTCTCCAATTGGCGCACCACCAAAAGCAAGTTCATCTTCCATGGTTCATTCGATGCAGAGCACTTGCACGCGGTAGACCCCGCCCCTGACACACACACACACACACACACACACACACAAGTTGTTTTATTGAATCTGTTCCCAACCCTATGGTTCTATATTCAAACATCTTTCTGTACCTTCTCACTATCTATAAGAACTTTAACTTTCAAGGCTTTTCAAGCCACCCATCCTTCCTTTCAGGACCTACATGTTCTTCTACTTCTCTTCTCCCCCAATATTGAAGCCCCAGCGTGTGCCTCTTCTTAGTCTTCCTGATCAAGAGGCTTTCTTCCCTTCAAGGTCTACCTCATCCCATGGCTTTCCTGAATCACCTTCCACGGCAAGCTCCCCCGTAGATATGGTTGCTTCTTCTGAGAACACCTGCAGACACACAGTTATCTATGCCACTCAACAATTACCTACTCCGTGTTATTAGCCATGTCTTTGATGTGTGCTTTTTCATTTCAGCAACTACATAGCAAGCCTTGAAGACCTGGGTCATGTCTTAGTCTTTCTTTTCTTTTCTCACTGTCATTGAGTCGATGCGGACTCGTAACGACCTCAGAGGACAGGGTAGAGCTGCCCCTGTGAGTGTCCGAGACCTTCACTTTCCATGGAAGTAGAAAGCTGTGGTTTCAGCCTGCTGACCTCGCAGGTCGCAGCTGAACACGTAACCACCACTCCACAGCACTTAGCTCAGTGACCGATACAGAGGAGACTTAGTCCATATTTGTCGATTTTAGAAAGCTAACCAGGGCTTCCAGCATCTTTCCGTCTGCATTTTTCACATAAATGTTTAACCGAAGCGTCTATCTACATTTGGGGTGTATGTCTATGCTCGTATACTATGATTTCAGTTCTGTGGGTTCCACTGTGAATAGCCTTACTCGCGAAGCCCAAATCCAAGGGGAGCTCTCTGCTGCTGTTGTTGTTGCTGTTGTTAGGTGCCATGGAGCCCGTTCAATTTATAGCAACTTTGCACAACAGAACAAAACACTGCCCGATCCTGCTCCAGCCTCACAATTGCTATGTCTAAACTGGTTGCCACAGCCACTGTGTCCTCACATCTTGTTCAGTCTTTCTCTTTTTCACTGACCCTCTGCCAGCCACGATATGTCCTTTACCAGAGACCGGTCTGTCCTGAAAAACATGAGCCCAGTCACGCTGTCCTCACTTCTAAGGAGCACTCTGGCTGTCCTCCTTCTAAGACGAACTTGCCCTTTTGGCCGTCCATGGGACTTCCAACATTCTTCACCGACACAGCACTTCAGAGGCATCTCTTCCTCTCTGACAATGAGAAGTGCTATTCATAAGGTTTTAAGTGGCAAATCCCTCAGCAGTGGGCAAGCTTATGTCTTCTTCCTGGTCTGTTCTTAGTCCGGAGGTTCTGCCGAAACTGGTTTGCCATGGGTGGCCCCGCTGGCATTTGCAATACCTGACCCGTGGCATCGCTTCCAGCCTGACAGCAGTAGACACACCACACCGGCACAGTGTGAGTAGCTGACAGACGAATGTATAGGAGCACAGAAGTTTGCATGTAAGGGGAGGAATCCTCAGCTTCCTAGTGTGCACTGCAGTCCCTGTGATATCTGGAACTGACTCTTTGACAAAGACACGGTTCCAGAATCAGACTTGTTTCAGAATCGCCTAAAGCTCCTCTGCCGCTCATTTCCACTAGAGTAACAGGAAGAATCGCCCAACAGGAGGCTGAAGCCAGAATTCTAGTTCTGGGCCTTTAGCTGGGTGACCCTGGCCAGGCAGGAAGATCAGAAAACAAAGTCTCCTACCTGCTTTTCTCATTTTCACACAGGCAGCCATTCAGAACCACAAAGATAGTAAGTTGGAATCTTGGGCCTTGCAGGACCACCCTTTGGCCTTAGTTCTGTCTTAGTCACTTGATGGATGAAGCAGAGACCCCAAACCCACTGCTCCGGGCATTTTATTTTATGTAGAGAATCAGGTGGGCCTCTCATCTTATCCATCTTTGTGATTTTTTTACTCTGAATGCATCTTTAGTAAGCCTGTGTCCCACCACCACTAGCACCACCCAGTTACTGGAAGTCCCTGTTGGCTTCAGATATTTACTACTCTGGAGGGTTAGTTAGCTGTCCTCCCACCCATAGGAATACTTTGGGTGATCAATGCCTCCACCCTTGCGAAAGGTGACAAGGCCCCTCCCCCAGCCACCTCAGGGAGAAACAGAGGTGATGGAACAGGCAGGTCCCTTGCTGGCCTCCACCCTTGGAGAATGGTAGGGCTGAAACCCAGATATCTGATTCTGTGATGTGCCAGGCCTATCCACTTACCTTCTGGAATCTCAAGCTCGGGCGGACAGTCCCGGAGCCCTGGTTGGGACTGGTTGGGCTCGGCGCTCTGGTTGCTTGAGTGTCTGCTGCTTGTTGGGCTGCCACGGCTATTCTTGAGAGAGTAATCAGGCAACTTCTCCATTTGCTCCGTAAATATTTACTAAGTGCCAGGTACCATGGTGGCTGTGAACAAACACAGTCCCTGACCACGTGGAGCTTACATTCGTGGGGGTGAGGAATGGGGGCAAATGATAAACACCGTCATGCAAATGACACATGATTATACATATAAATCCTGTATGATTATGCATACAACTATGTATTATCTGTGCTGATGACACCCACATTTACCCTTTCAGCCCATCCTCTCCAACTGCTGTCTCCCTTGCCACATCTAAAAGGCTTCTCAGTTTAGCATGTTCAAAAGAGCATCCTTGAGCCCCTACCCTCTGTTCCTCCCAAAGCCCTCCCCATTTCGTGATGGTGAGTGTATCCTTCCAGTGGTTCAGGTCCCACAAACTCTATAGAGTCATGCCCGACTCCTCGCTTCCCAACCCCCTCCTGTGAATCTAATGAAGCCTGCTGACTTGACCTTCAAATAGACCCAGAGCCCGGTTGCTCCTACCACCTCCATCACTTTCACCTGCTCTCTGCTATCATCAGCCTCTTAACTGATCTTCCTACTTCCTCCCTTGTCTCCCGACAGACTGTTGTCATCACAGCAGCCAGAGT